CGATAAAATTGCTAAAGCAGTACCATGGCACTGATAAGCTGCAGTCTTATCAGCAAATAATAGAGGCATGCCATTTTTAATGCGCATTATTTTAGCACTCACGCATCATTTACTGCTTCACAAACATCTTAAAAAGGCTTTTTTTTCATTCTGAGCTTCACTGTGGTTTTAATGTTGGCGAAATGGGGTGGAATTTTGCGCAAAAATAGGTCCGGGTTCAACTAGAGGGGCACTTTTGGCTCCGGATTCAACCAGTTTTCACCACAAATGCACCATTTTTGGATCTGAGGCTATGAAAGTATGCAACCGTTATTTCACGATTTCTGTCGAAGTTTCTTTTACAGTCGCGGTTTTTTCAGTATTTATAATACTTTAAACCAAACTTGGGAGGAATATTCTTCATTTCGGTCTACTTCTGAAACGTCGACACATCTTGCTGCTGCAACACTTGCACTTTAGCTTCTTGCCCTTGCTTTCAGTGTTCGTTGCCTAACAACTCCGAATCCAACATGATATTGCTTAATTCCATTAAAAATACTAGTATTTGAGCCTTCTCTTCTCTACCCCATTGTGGCTCAGCCTCGCACTCTCCCTCCTCTTCCTCTTTCTTTCTAACTCGTTGGTTTCATTTTTTCATTGCGTACACAGCCCCATCAGTGTGATGCTACATTTAGGCTGCTGGATGGATGTGATGTTTCCTGCTAGGTATATTATTGTCAGGAAAAGTGTGCAGCAATTTTGCATTGCATCCATGATGACATTTTGTTAATTCTCGAGCATCACTTTAGGGTCCAATTTGTTTTGGCCCTTATCGCTCCAGCATAGGGCGGAGTGCTGTTTCATCAAATTTTTTGTGTTTATGTTCATAGCACAGTGCGAATTTGAGAGTTTGAATTAGTTGGACTACTGCTTCACAACCATGCATAGTCCGAGAATGAAAATCAAAAAAAAAGCTGTGAGTCCGATCTTTTGGTACTTTTTGTCGATGAGTAGGTCAAAAAGTTAAGGTTGTCACGGGTTGTCATGATGAAGTTGTCGTAGCGATTGGATCCTACCTAAAAAAATAAAAAATATTTCTTGACACGTACATGCATTATTCTTTCGCAGCGGATATGCAAAAATTTATAAGCCTTCAATTGTCTTTTGTCTTTTTCACTCCGCTAATGTTTTCGAATTTTTGGGGAATAAATAAAGAACGATGGATATTAAAATAAAGTGGAAGACACTTGTTAGAAGGCGTCGGATTGAGTTTAAGCGCATTTGGACTTTTTAAAGCTAAGCGAAATCGTTTAGTGCGTCTTCACTTTTAGCTTGAAAAAATCGCAAGTTTAAGGCAGATCTTGAAATACTAAATTGTGATGAAATTTTATTTGTTCTGTTGGATCTGCCTCTGCTAGCCCTACCTCCTAAATCTTGCTTTCCCTCATTATCTTAACAAGCACAAGATTTAGAGAGAGAGAGAAAGAGAGGAGGTGAGTGTATCAAAATTGGATGAAGTTGAGTCTAATGAAATAAACTTCTGGAAGTTTCTGAGGTCAAAAATTGGATTTTAATTAAATGAAAAATATACCTCGTTTCAACCTATTCTTCTTGAAGCCTTCCCAGCATTTTTTTACCAGTAATGAAAGCCATTGATGTCGGATTCTCGTACTACTTGTCTGGGCGGTTTCGGTAATCTTTTTTAGAAACACCAGCAACTAAATCTATTGACAGTCTTTTTTTATGAAGATTGCTCGAAAAATAAGCTGGAGTTTTGCAGTTATCTGGGGAAGCCTACAATATTACATTATGACGTGAACTGCGGAACGATGGCTGCTTCCGGCATTGATCCTGGAGTTACGCAAACAATATCCGGTTGCTGACGTGTCAGCGACGTCAAATGCTATCACATTTCTCTCATTTTAAACTTTTTTCTTGCCCATTTTCCTCACTGTTTACAGTTCAAAACATTTCCTTAGAAAAGAAAACTTTGTAAATTTTCCTTTCTTCACTTATTGCTGCAAAAATTCCTCTACTTTTTCGCGATTGCTGTGTGCTAGCCTTCTTTCTGCATAGTTTGTCGTTGGGTAATCTATGAAATTCATCTGTCCCACTTCGTAATTTTTGCGAATTTGTGCCTTGAAATTTCTCCTCCCTTTTTCCAAACTCAATCCTGCTTTTTCTGATTTTTGCCCTTTCCGCCGTAGCACCTGTAAAACTTCCGTGCAACGCAATTGTACGAAGGTTTTACAGGAGCTATGGCGGAAATGCACTGAATGAGCTTCTGCAAAATTTGATAGTTCTTTAGGCCTTTATTTTGCTATGATATTAATAGTCATGTCTGCATTTGCGTTTTTAAAGCGTTTGGCATATATGCAAATGCAAAAATTCATATTGTCGCATTGTTATTGTTAATAAAACTCAAGCTGCAAAGCACCAAGCGATCTTGCGCTACACTTACAGATCGCTAAAATCAAGGACGATTTAGCACTTAGACTCGTACTGGCTATGTTTTGGCCTTTTCCTCCATGCAGGAGGAAAGGGCGTGGGCTGGGATGATGCTGGATTATGGACCGTGTGGCATCCG